TTGAGGTACAAGTGTGCTCGCATCTCTATCCAGGCTATGGATGGGGTTACCTCCTTCCAAACTATGAGGATGGAGGGAATCATGGAAAAAAGATGTGACTTCTATTAGACAGTGGGAGCACACACAACTTTATAGATGCTAATAAAGCATTAAAACTTGACTGCAAGGTGGAGAATATCACACCCCTCTGGCAACCAAATCAAATGTGAACAGATAATTCATGGATTCAAATGGAGGATGCAAGGAATTGAATTCTTATGTTTTCTTGCTACCCTTAAGTGGTAGTGACTTCATGCTTGACATTCACTGGTTTTCTCAGTTAGGCCCTGTGCTCTAGGATTTTGGTAAGCTCACCATGGAGTTTAAATATGGTGGCAAGAAGGAGAAACTCAGGGGATCACCACCCAAAAAGCTGGAAAATTGTCCAGCCTCAGAACTGCAGAAGCTCATGGCCAGAGCACCAATTTAGATCCCATGCTCCTATCTCTTTGGGACCAGTTAGGAGTGGTTTTTCAACCCTTTCAGGGGTTACCACCATCAAGAGAAGGGCTTGACCATGTTATCCCATTGAAGGAGGGGACAGATGCCATCAACTTGAGAGCTTATAGGTATCCGGCTATGCAAAAGAATGTGATTGAGGAAATGGTGCAGGAGCTACTGGAGCAAGGTGTCATCAGACCTAGCAACAATCTATTTGTTGCCCCAATAGTTTTGGTGAAGAAGGATGGAGGATGGAGGATGTGTGTGGATTATAGACACCTCAATAAGGCCACTATAAAGGATAGATTCCCTATCCCTCTCATCGAGGAATTATTGGATGAATTGCAAGGCACCAAATTATTCTCCAAAATTGATCTCAAGTCTGGTTATCATCAGATTAGAATGAACCCAAGTGACATACAAAAGACTGCTTTTAAGACTCACTCTGGTCACTTTGAGTACTTGGTAATGCCATTTGGCCTAACCAATGCTCCCTCTACCTTCCAAGCCTCGATGAATCAGCTCTTTAAACCACTTTTAAGAAAGTGTGTCCTTGTGTTTTTTTTATGACATCTTGGTCTATAGTCCAACCTGGGATGATCATCTCAAGGACTTGGAAGCTGTCCTAGAAATAATGAGAGACAACCACCTACATGCCAATCATAAAAGATTATGGCACAATTTGTAGACCTCTCACTTCACTCTTGGAAAAGGATAATTTCACTTGGACTGAAGAAGCTGAAAACTCTTTCAACCAGCTCAAGACAGTCATCACCACCACCCCCCAGTCCTTGCTATGCCAGATAAATATGCAATTATCAGCATATGAGAGAGAGCTCCTGGGTGTGGTGTTTGCAGTGAGGAAGTGGCAACATTATTTGTTATCCCAACCTTTCATAATTAGAACAGATCAACAAAGTCTTAAATATCTGCTAGAGCACAAATTGGCAACTCCTTTTTCAACAAAAGTGGTTGTCTAAACTCACAAGATTTGTTGTGATTACACTGTTGAGTATAAATCCGGTGCCGAGAACAGGGCAGCTGATGCTCTATCCAGGATCCCTGGGTATCAACCGAATGTCATGGTTGTATCTAGTGTGCACTCTGGTAAAACAATGTTGGGAGAAGGAAGAGAGCTTACAGACAATCATTTTAGAATTGCAACAAAATGTTAATTCTCACAAGCACTTCTCTTGGGATAATCAATGTCTAAGGAGAAAAGGGAAGCTGGTGGTAGGTGGGCATTCTGGGATAGAAGCTACCTATCAGAGGGTCAAAAGCTTGTTTTACTGGAATGGTATGAAGGGAGATGTCAGGTCTTATGTGAGAAGGTGTGCAGTGTGTCAAAGATGTAAATATGATCCTCAAGTGAGGCCATATGGGATGATGTAACAATGGATTTCATAGAGGGTGTGCCAATTCATTTGGCAAAGAAGTGATTATGGTTGTCATTGATAGATTGAGTAAATATGCTCACTTTGTGGCACTTTCACACCCTTTTTCTGCCATGATAGTAGCCCAAGCATACCTAGACAACATTTTTAAGCTCCATGGGTTCCCTAAATCCATCATTTCTGACAGGGATAAAGTTTTTATAAGCCTATTCTGGTCTGAGTTCATGCAGTTACAGGGTGTGCAGCACAGAAGGTGAACCCTCAAACAGATGAGGTTCTTAATAGGTGCCTGGAAACCTATCTAAGATGCATGTGCTTCGAAAAGCCTCATGAGTGGTCAAAGTGGTTGTCCCTAGCTGAATTCTGGTACAACACTAATTACCATACTGCAAGTAAGAAGACCCCTTTTGAAATTCTGTACAACACTGCCCCACCCTTGCATAGACCATATCTTGCAGGGTCATGTATGGTGGACACTGTAGAAGTCTACAACAAAGGGATACAACTCTGAGAATGCTGAAAGAGAGCTTACACAAGGCACAACAGTTAGCTGATAAGCACAGAGAGGAGCTTTGAAGTAGGAGACTAGGTCTATCTTAAGCTACAACCCTATAGACAGACTACAGTGTAGCAGAGGAGCAATGAAAAGCTCTCTCCAAGGTTCTATGGTCCCTATCTAATCATTAAAAAGATAGGACAGGTTGCTTACACCTTACAGCTACCACCTACTTCCAGAATCCATCCAACCTTCCATGTCTCTCTGCTTAAGAAACACTATGGGACAACCCTATGTACCCACCCATTCCCAATTTGCCACAAACACAACCCCCCAAAAAGGTCCCTAGTGCTATGTTAGACAAACGCACTGTGAAGAAACGCAACCATGCAGTAATTCAATGGTTAATCCAGTGGGATCAGCTGCCAATAGAAGAAGCTACTTGAGAAGATGCTGCTTGGATAGAGGAGCAGTATCCAGATTTTGATCCTTAGGGTCAAGGATCTCTTGATTGGGGAGTATTGATGCAATTACAGGCATTGATTCTGAGCTGCAAGAAGTTAACAAGAGAGTAGCTGAGGTGGAGCAGAATGATCTGGAAAGTGATGGCAAGGGAGCAGCTAAAAAAGAGGGAAGAAAAGGACTGGCAGCTGTCCAAGAGAAGGGGATAAGCACTGAAATAGAGGAGAATAATCCTGAGGATAATATTGAAAGCTGTAATTTGTTTGCTAGCTAAATTATTCTATTTTCTAGTCGTTATGTTAATTTGTCTTTTGTAAGCTGAGCTCAGCAGTAGTCCTCATGGCTATATAAGCCAAAACTATTGTAAGAATTAGTCATGCTTAATGAATGAATGAAATCCTCTCCTCTTTTCTCTGACTACTCTCTCTCAAAACTCTCTATTGGTGTTCAATCAATTATTTCCACCAAAACCGCCCTGATTCTTTTGGCTGGTTTTCTGGTATAATTGCCAAGTCTCCATTTTGCTGTGCAAAATAGACTTGATTATTCTATTGCTATCAGGTGACCTCTTGAAAGACCTCATGTACCCGACCCCACTTATGGGATTAAGGCTTTCAATCAGAAAAAGAAGAGAAGTTAGAGAAACGAAATTAAATAAGGCTACTTTTGAATACCATAAGATTAATGAAAACTTCTTTAGTAATCCCCCCTCCCCTTTTTCTTTTCTCATTCAGAATCTTAACAATGCAAATGGAAATAAATAATTTTAATGATTTTTCTACTCCATATACTTTAAAGAGTAATCACGTGGGATCTACTTAGATTTGTCTTGAATTTTAATTTCCAAATATACATTGTAATGCAAAATAACTTATATAACAAGAAATATTAATTCTAATCGCACGGGGAAAACCTAGTAAATTTTTATAAAAATTTATTACAAAAAGTCCCAATTTTGCCCAATTTATTTTTAATAATCCAATTTTACATTATTATCTAATAATGCAAACATTTAAAGGTTTGCTTTGTTTGGGGTTTGACAAATTGATGGTCGGTTTAATGGGCTACCTTGCCACGTGTCGCTTTATAGTTGGTCTAATTGTTTTTTTTTTCCTCTGCTCCCCTTCCTCATGGCAGCCATGGTCACCTCTCTCTCCTTCCCTTCCATGGCAGTCATGGCTGCCTACCTCCCTAACGCCACCCCCGAAACCATCCCAAAGCCCTTTCCCTCCTGAAACTACCCCCTTCCCCAACCCAGAAACCACCCCAAACCCTTTCCCCCACCCCTAAAACGACAAAACACGTCCCTTTATTTCCCTCACCTCCTGGCACCCCTCAAACCACCCCTCCCTTGTCCCTTCCCCCCGAAACCACCCACTGCCAATCAATGGAAGGACAGCTCAAAATTACCTTCATTGGAGGTGAAATCCCCCCAAAAAAATTAAAAAAATTAAATAAAATTAAAAAAAAAAAATTAAAAAAAAAAAAAAAAAAAAAAAATTAGAGGAAGAGTGGTGGGATGGGGGAAGAGGTGAAATTTATATATAAACAAAATTTCACCCCTTCAATTTCTTAATCGTAATTCAAATAAAATCTAGTGAGTTCCTCCATAGTCTTCATTTTCAATCTGTATTAAAATTGTTAAAATAATTATTAGATAATTTGTTTGACTTCTAGTTGTTTGTACAATAGATGATAATCTGTATGTCATGCCTCTACTATCCCAGTATCCCCTATTGGTTGATATAAGTTTCACATACCCTGAGCTAATCTAAACTTAGCATGGCTGCACCTGATTCTTTATCGGATGAGCTATTTTCAAGTTGAAAACAATACACTTTCAGAATACCTAACACACTACTACAGCTCCCTATTTGTTTAAGCTTAGAAGAACAGGAAAATGAATCAAACAAATAAATAAAAAAATTCTTTTACTCTACAGTCCTCCACATTCCAGAAATCCCGGATGAGCTATTTTCAAGGTGAAAACAACACACTTTCAGAATACCTAACAGACTACTACAGCTCTGTATTTGTTTAAGCTTATAAGAACAGGTAAATGACTCAAACGAATAAATAAAAAATCCTTTTACTCTACAGTCCTCCACATTCCAGAAATCACAAGCACCTCATTAAGCACTGCTATGATTAAGTGGAAATTAACTTACCTACTAGTATTCCAGCTGTCAGATGTAGAAGACAGAAATAAGCATCCATAATAGCCTGTTGACCAATCATTAATATAGAAACTTTGGCAGCTCCCTGACAAGATCAATTATGACATTATACTCAAAGAGCTAGCACACATCAACTCACAGTTGCGAAAGTAAAATCAAAAAAATAATAATAATAATAATAATAATAAATAAAAAATTGATCTTACAGATTGGGTATTGCTATGCTCCATTTGTCTAATCAGTAAAAGAACTTGGAGAAAAGACACCTGACGCATGATATAGTCAAGGGAACCAAACCATACAAGTGAAAATAATAGATGCAGGGCACAGACAGATGACAAGAAAATCAAATTAAACAAGGATACAAAGGTAACCATCAGTGTATAGTTGACAGCTTTGTTGTAATAGACCTCTATATTGACAGAGGTAGCATTCAGCAATAATGGAGAAAAGCAGTCTCCATCTTCGTCTGCTGATGGAGATTCCATTAATCCCTCTATATGATACCGATCATGATCTCCATCTACAAGTAGACACCAAACAATTCGGAAGCTCCATAAAAGTGACATCAACAATATCTAAACTGTACACATAGGACTATAAATAACCCCTAGTGGACACCGTTAACAACTGAAGAACTAGAGAGGGAAAGAAAGTTAAGATGACATGCAAAACAAAATCATAATAATGAGGGCCACTACACATGCATTTGCAGGACAGTAGAAAGCTCATTCGTCTGGTATAAAAATAAAAACAATCAACATGGTGATACAATTATTTAGAGTAGAAGAAGTTTAACAACAAATAGTAGGAAGAGTGGAAGAAACACCAATTTGAATTTTTACAAAGATGCACATCTTGATTCAAACTATTAGATTTATAATTCAGATATCATCATACTTTGAGCTTTACATTGTGAAAAAACGTCAATAAATGAATCAGATAAATCAAATAATACCACCATTTCATTAAGATGTTAACACTCTTCGGTCTCCACTTTCGTCTATTTCTTAAGGAAATTTTGTCAGAAAAATCCTTAAGCAACTTTTTTGTCAAAAAAACCTTTTAAATGTTTTTGACAAGCTAAAACCTGATTCCAATTTTTTTTTTGATAAAGACCACCAGCCCCAGCTTTCCGACGTTAACTGTGTCTTTGTTGCGTTGACTCACCATTTCTGGTGTTAACCAACCCCAATTTTTGTTTCTTATTTCCACCCCCTTCCCCCCCCCCTCTCTACTCTATTCCTCCCACTCATTTGAACTCGTCACCATTTCATCAAATATCCATCATCTCTCATTCAAAGTGTCATTGATTTCGAGCAATTAAGTTCCTTTATTTTACTTTATTAAAAATTAAAGTCTTTCATAATTGAATTCGACCAAAGTGATTGTTAATGTCTAGTGTAATTTATGCATAGTTCATTGAGTTTAATGTTTTCAAAAATTTGGGTCTCTTACCACCTTTTTTTTTATAATAATAAAAAAAAATGCGATAATGACAATTGATTTTGTGAATCATGCAACAATCATGGTTCCATTTAAGTATTTGAGAAGTGAGTTGCGGTGATCCTGAGAGGACTACCCATGGCACCATGGTAGAGTAGGCTGCAGATGAGAAAGAGTAATACACCATGGTAGAGTAGGCTGCAGATGAGAAAGAGTAATAGGGAAAAGGTGGGGATTAGGGCAAAAAAAAGGGGTTGAGAATAAGAAAAAAAAATGGCATGTGTCCTGCACATGGGGAGTTATCGCAGGATTTAAGCTAGTAAATGTCGAAAAGTTGGGGTTGGTTGTCTTCAACAAAATAAATTTTGAATCGGCAATTACCTTGCCAAAAAAAAATTAAAGTTTTTCCTGATAAAAATATTGCTTTAAAAGGTTTTTATAGACAAAATTTCCATTTTATAGAGTTGTTTCTAACACTTGCATTTTATTCCAAACATTTTGGAAATGTTATTTTTTTTATTATAATTTTTTTTTGACAAATATATTCCCAAGCCTACCATGACTTACGCACTTACACACAACCTACCTCAAAATCTTTTTTTCAAGTAATTATCAATCAGGTTTCATCTAACTCCCTCCGTCCCCAAAAAATTCAGAAACAGATTGAGAGAGAAAGTGGGTATGAGTACAACCAAAAAAAATTTTATCCAACATTTCTTGCAAAAAATTGGGTGTACGCAACGAGTGTGAGGACGTATTGGGGACTGCTAAATTGCCTAAATATTTTTATGGTCGTCCACCTTCACAAACTTGAAAATTCATCCCAAAACAAAATAAAGGAAAACATTACTTGGCATTGGCGGATCCGGGGGGTACATAGAGGTATAGCTGTACCCCCATTCCTGAAGAGAGAGAAAAAAAAAAAAAAAAAAAAAAAAAAAACAACAACAACTAATAACAAAAGAGACGGCCTGTCTACAATATTGGGTCTCTTAGATATTGTTAAGTAATTGGCTAAAGCAACAAATCAACCTTGCCTTATTTGTGTTTAATCCAAAGAGACCGCATGTTTAAGAAAATGGTCTCTTAGGTTTTATTTTTAATTTTTACACGTCAGGTTAGTACTTTTCGATCAAAGACAGCTGTTTTCACAAATAACTGGTCTCTTACGTAGTCTCTTTTTTTATACCAATGAACACATTTAGTACTCAATTATAATTTATAGGCATTGCAGATTGAAATGGTATATTATCTCAAAATTTAGTTACGAAAAAATTATTGTATGCACTCCATAATTTATTTTGTAATTTTATTTTATTATTTCTTTATTATCAAACTTAATTTTGTACCCTCATTCCCCAGATCCTAGATCCGCCACTGTTACAACATATCTAGGTTAAGGCAATATTCGTTCCACATAGCTTCTTTCTCCAAAATAGAGTGTTCCAAAGTAGGGTTTGAAAAGAAAAAGTAAGAAAGAGTGTTTTAAGTAAGATTTTATAAGAAATCATGTAGGATGTGAGATTTGTGTAAGAAAAAGTTTTCCTAAACAAAACAAAGCAAAAGTGTAGCCAGCAAAAGGAACGGACAAAAGTAGAGCACATAACATAACACCAATGGAAAATCAACAAAAAGCTTAGAGAGAGAGGAGAGAGAGAAGATATCACTTAAATCCTTGTATATTATTAAAAAAATAGAAAATAAAAATAAAATCCTAGAACCAAAAGTTTTTAAATTTAAACAAAAGAGGAAAAAAAAAAACAAAAACTTTTTTGTTTGGTTAATTAATCATAAAAATTTACTTCCTTTGTTTCTTTTATTTTCAACACAACCATTGGGCATACTTTTTAAGGAGATGATTAAAGTATGTAAATAAGTGACTTTATCATAATATTTTAACATTGAGAATAGAGAAGGGTTAGGAACTACGTGTATAAATTATTTACATTACCTAATCTCTTCCTCAAAGTGCATGCAATGAAGGTGTGTTGCACTGTTGCAAATAAAGGAAAACAGAGGAAGTTGGTGACACTAATGAAACATCAGGGCATCAATGCGAATAGAACTTGAATATAAATGCTCATACGTTTAGAATTCACAATATGGCCTCAACATTTTAGCCTACATCTGAATTATCTTACATGAAGTCAAATGATGTTAAATAACTTAAGGTTGTTTAGATCCAAAGCTCCTAATTTCATATGATACTTCTTAATAGTTTTTGCTTTATTCACGTACAAAAACTATCATGAGTATACAAGGGTTCCAATACTGAGGAATATATGCACATGTCATCTTAATTATGGTGGTTGAAAAATCTAATTATTTGGCGAAATAGCAATAGCAATAAACAATCGCAACTGGTGAACCTATAAGAGAAAGAACACAGCTAAGTGATTTCCACATTAAACGGAAAAGGACAGAAGAATAAAGAAAGGTAAACAAATATTGAAAAGAAAGATGTCTAAAATAAATCAGATACCATTGTGCAAGGCAGCAACACGTGAAACTTGAGCTGCAATTTCAATGTTGCAGTGTTTCTCTATGTCATGAACTTGAGCTGCAAATTGGAAATGAACATACACAATCAAAATATCAACAAGTGTCAGTATGCATACAGCCATACGCAACACAAGTGATAAATAAGAGAAAGGCTAATTACATTTTTTTCTTCTCCAAATTTTATCACGTGGTGAATCTTGAAATACTTGTGAGGAGAAAACTCCAAGCTGCTCAACATTTAAACAAAAAAAAAATGTTCAGTTCTGATAAAAACAATCTTACCCCAATAGACAGCAATCAATAGCAGCAGTGGCAACAACAACAATTGCCACTCAACATTAATTATGTTATTAACAATTCTAGTCATCCATTACCAAACGCAATAACTCCAACATAGGGTTCTCACTTGGTAAATCTAAAAGCCCTTTGGAAAATAAGGTTTTGTTCACTTAACCTTATAATTGCTGAGCTAAAATTATTTTTACTAAAATTAAACTACTTTTACTGAATTTATATTTCATATTATTTTTACTGATTAAAACTTATTTTTAATGATTCTTGATTATATTTGTTCTTTAAAGTTACTGATTTATACAGATGAAAACATATTTTTACTAAACTGAACTTACTTTTGCTGAATTTGATTTATTTTTACTGAACTTAAATTATTTTTACAGAATATGATATTGAATGAGGTGAGAGAGCTAGCCCTAAGTTAAAAACTCCACCAAGGAGGACAAAAAATGATATAATTTTTTATACACAAGCAAAAAACACAGTTGCACACTTTATGGCAAAGTTTTTAGATATTCAAGTTTGCAAAGAATTTTGTACATCAAATTTAATTTTTAGAAACTCCTGAATCAGAAATTTATCCCTTCCATCATAAATACTCCCACAAGATAAATGAGCCTAGATTAGATCCACCTTTCAGCTTTAAGAATATGAAACTCCCGACAAAAGCAAAGGCAAGATCCCTTTTTTTATTATTTTTTTGAGGGAAATAAAGGCAAGATCCCTAAAAAGGCCATATCTGACAATCAACATCTAGCCACTCATCCCAAATAATAATATGAAACAAAAACAATGAGATTGTAAATTTAGAGAAAGGATATGAAGGTACCAAATGATATGGATTAGATAACAGGTAGTCTTCTTCTGGGCCAAACTCACCATCTTTTCCACTGCACAAGAAACCGTTAGAATTTTTTTAAGGTTACAAGACATATTACCCATGGGATTCTATTCTTTTTACAGTTATACATCCACAACATATATCAGTGGTGGAGCTGAGAGAAAAGCATGTCTAAATTGATCTCTGAAGTGCATTCACATAGAATATACAGATCCAGTAACAGCATAGATAGATACCTGTTTGCCACCATTCTTAGTTGCCTAAATGGCCAGATATATACACCTTCTACCCGAATTTGAGCACCACCTCCTTCATGATCATCATCAAAAGCATCATGAAATATAATAACTCCCTGCAAATAGAGTTAACGCTTGAGTAATCAGCAAAATGATGACAAGTAGAAGACTGTAAAAACATTCACAAAAAATCATTATACCATCTCATATCCAGAACTTGATTGATCAGCTCCTACTGTTTTCTAAAGCTTATGGTTAAATGCATTTCAGTAAGGGGGAACTAAACATGTAAAGAAAAAAAAAAGTGCAGCACTAATATTCTTCCTCCGTTCACTTTTTGTTGCAACATTTTGACTAAAAGTGCGTGAGCTTTTTATTTAACTGTTGTAGCTAAATGTGCAAGGAAGAGGTTATAATTTTTCTTTGAACATCAAATAAAAATTGTGAATAAAATTTGTAGAAATAGTAAGGAACAAGACCTCCAACAATTCAAGTAAAACAGCCACTATCAAGTACCCAGTTAACATACCAAGGAAGTAAAACCTCTGACAACAAGGAGTTAATAAGAACATTGCGTTAAACCCCCTCCCCCACCAACCAGCCACCCTTGTTGGCGCCTAACCCAGCCTCCCTTGCCGGCCGACACCCCTCTTCCACCCCTGCTGTCGCCCCTTCTCTCCACTAGCCAATCTCTCTCTCTCTCTCCGCTGCATCATTCTCCTACTGCTCATCAGTAACTTCTCCTATCTTCAATGGCATTGACGTCAGCAGCGGTGATGTCGAAAGATAGTAACTTCCGGGAGGAGTCGATGGACCAATTAGCCAATTTGAGCACTGAAGACATCATTAGGGCTGATTCAAATCCATAAGGTTTCTTTTTTTCTCTTTTTTTCTCTGTTTTTAGCTTGACAATGGCGGAATTTCGATTTAGGGTTTGAAGCTTTGTAAATTGGTTAATGAGGAACTTGATGCGTTTAATTGATCTTTTGTTAAACATAAATAGAAGAACCATTTTGAAGAAAACAATATAATCACTCCATCCTTTTATGTTCTACTCACTTAACGTAAATTAGGATAACCCTAAATAATAAAGAGTGTGGAAAAGTGTAATTATTGTGAGGTGTAAGGGGTAAAAGTAGTAAAACAATAAAAGGGATAACCCTAAATAGAGTAAGGAAAGTGTTTAGAGCAAAAAAGAAATGGACCAAAACGGAAATTGAGTAGAAGTGTAGAACAATAGAGAACGGAAAAATTACTTTAAATACATATATTCATTGCAATTTAATTTTTTATATTTGTCAACTAGGGCCCAATTTTTTTATCTCAACCATATGCCTGCCTCCTAAATGCCTGATAATGGCCAAGAAATATAACAATCTTGTCATAAAAGTTAATGATAGTAGGTGTGGAAAAAAGAGATAAATAAAATGAAAGATTGAGAAAAAAGTCCCCCCCCCCCTCCTTTTAGCATAAAGGAAGCAACCATTGGAATAGGCACATAAACCCTAAAGCATCAGCAAGCAATCTACTATTTATGCATTACATCAGCAAAGTAAGAAAAATTACAAGTTAGCTGGGTTTAAAATCAGCATTAAAGCTTTGAGTTTCACTAACTCACACTTAAATCCATAACAAATGGCTGGCGCCTATGAAATCCAGTAGTTTATTGCCTGTACAAGTCTCCAGAATAAGTAACAGAAAAGGAATAACAGATGAAAGCGAGAGCGATTTCTCACTTCACAAGGAAAGAGCCAGAACTTCAAAAATTGTGCACATTTCTTTAAAAAAACCCCAACAACAGTTACACTGTAATAATATATAGAGCAAGGAGGACAAAATATCATTATTTTTCCTGTCATCATTCACCTGTTAACTATTCACAAAGTTATTTAGATTTGTATCCCATATGTACATAATCACTAGTTGAAGTATGCAGATTTAATTTTTCAATTTCACAGGCTCACATGTTCATGAGGTCCATTAGATGAATCAAACGTGTTCATCAGGTGTACATTTACAAACACGTTTACAAAAATGTCAGCTTCATTAGGTAAAACATTCAATTTTATCAACAAATAAGTGCAAGAATACTAAAACTGCATCCAAGTGCTGAAGTATGTGATAAAGCAATTGGTAAAGATCATCGCAATTCGAGGACGAGTTCGAGGATGGCCATGCTATACCATTGAAAAATGTACCATCTACTGGTTTAGTTCACCATGATACTGAAAAAATAATTTCTACATAAATTCATCAATTTTATCGATGATGACAATGGTGTCATTAAAGAGAAGTAGTGGAAGTATCAAACTTTCAACCTAAAGCTGATACTCCCTCAGTCCTACTTTAGTCTTCACCCTTCCCTGTTACATCTGTCCCAATTTTATTTCATACCAATTACTATTTTATTACCTCTTTGCACCCACTACCAAAAGTTAGGGTCTCACACCCCATGGATCTTGGATTTGACAGTACACGAAATCTCACAATATAACACCACGCAGAGATTAGTGTAAAGATTAAATTCAGATGGAGGGAGTAGTTGTTGGTCCAAGACGAAATTGCATGTAACTAAAGGCACGTTCAACTTGAAGTTACTCTATGACAATAAGTCAATAACAAGGTAACAATTGACATTTAGAGGGTACCTGAAAATGATAGGGAAGGAAATGAGAAGCAGAAAGTTGCATGAGCAGATGAATTTGGAGTATAACTTTTGTACCAGAACAGGTTTTTCTGGTTGGTTAATGGCCTTGCTGCCTACAGTCAGACTGCACAAAATGGAATAGGTCCTGAGAAAATATCTAATTTAGGGAAGGGTGGAGGAGACCCACCAGGCCACCATAACTTGTTCTATCATTTCTGTGAATGCTACTCTAATTCTTTCAGCCTGGTAATTTTTCGTATCTTTCCAGAGTAAACAATTCCTTTGTATCTCTCCTATCGATTAAAAAGGAAAGCACCTGTCACCTCTTAGCCCATAAAGATGCCAACAAAATCACCCTAACCACAAAATCTCAGGATATGCAGCTACTCCCTTAAAAAAATTATGACCATTCCTCTCCGGCCAAATACTCCACAGAAATGCCATCATACCTCCATAGCAATTTGTTCTCTTTCTCCCTTATAAGTTCCAATTCCCACAAACAAAACTTGTGGTCATTCTATAATAATATAAGAAAAATCCAATTTCTCCATATGCAAAAAAAAAGAGATTTCTTTCAAAGATTGCTCAAACCAACTAATACTTCCTCTGTTTCTTTATACTTGCAACACACACTTTTCATGGTATTTAAGAAAAGTGGGGCTCATATGATTTAATTCAATTAAAATGAGGGTGAAAAATGGTTATGAGAATAATTTAGTGGGCCATGAGATTAAAATAAAGGAAATAGTACAACTTTTAACAAAAACAACTTTCTAATTTTAGTGTGTTGCAAGCATTATGACATTTCCATTTTAGGGAAGTGTTGCAAGTATAAATAAACGGAGGAAGTATAAGAAAACCAACCCTAGCCTCTACTTATACAGTACATCATTCGTGTGGATCCTACCTCTGAAAGTGAGTGTTCACACAAAATGTCTCGCCATTAAAGCCTTTAAAGAAACTTAAGCTTAATATACGAAGTCGAAAGATGGACCAATATAACAAAAAAATGGCTTAAGGAGCATTAAAGGCAATAGGGATTTCCCTGCACCCTTGGCGTGCCTAAGTGTGCCTAATGCACTTGAATCTGGGATCACTTAATTATCAATTAAAGTAATTATGGAAAATCATTTGCACGTCTCTAGCTAAGCCTCAGACACACCTCATCAAATTCACCACACCTACACTTGAAGAGGTGCATAGCCTTGACCGTCTAGCGCCTAGGAAAGCCTATTTGTACATTGGCATGAACAGTTATTCAAGCTGTAGCAATTTTTCTTAGAATCTTGAGGTAAATTCAGGAACAATGAAAAGAAAGTAAAAGAAGAAGCTTCTCTGTGGCAGTTGCAAATTGCAACACCTGATTACATATGGCAAGCAAGTAATGGTGGTCTTTGGAGCCATAAGTACCTACATTGAACAAAATATACAACTATACTTGTTAAAACTTAATAATGCCAAGGAAAGTTACAGTTAAAGGAGTGGTTTATTTCATCGAAGTAATTTTTAGTGTAGATAGGACTGATGTCATAGGGCAATGAGTCCTAAGCTTCATTGATTGTAGTTTTGGAAATACTACACCATATAACTTTTACACTTGCTCATCAAATACTTCCTCAATTCTTTTAATTATTACTCATGTGCAACACCTAGGGGATGCGCGGAATTTTAGGAATCCATGTGATGAAGAAAGAGATAGAGAGAAAGAAATGAACCTGCACTAATGAAAGTAAGAGAGAGGTATAGGGTAATCATACACAAAGAAAGAAATATTAGCAACAAATACTAGACTTCTATAAAAGAAACATGTTACAAGATTAAAAGCACAGGGAAGTTAAAAAACATGGTCAGACTTTTTACCTGAACATAATGTACACCAGTTATTTTTGTTGGGGTACTCATCAACTCAATTACAGAGTTTCCATCCGATCTCTTAAAATCCGGAAATCTAGATGAGAAATTTGCAGACTCCAAAAAATTCCAACTACCTGAATGCCAGAAGAGCATCACATATGTCACACACACCAAAAAAAAAAGGATTTTTTTGAAAATAACACCACAAATTTTACAAAAAACGGATTATAACACCACAATTTTTCGAATTTGTATCATAACACCACAAGAAAATCCAAAAATTGGATTTCACCACCATGTAACGGATTCTTGGATGGAATCCGTTAGTGGGGTCCGTACAAGACACGTGTCAAGTGGCTAGTGGTTTAAATAAATATTAAAAAAAAAAAAACCTAACCTAGCCATCCCACCACCTCTGCACCACCTGCCTCAACCGCCAACCGTCGCCGGTATCCACTACCCCAACAAAATCCGACGAAACCGAAACCTTTGACCGTCGATCAACCACTTCGCCCCCTCTCCCTCCCCGAAAACCACCTTAAGCCCTCCAAACCACCGCAAAAACCATCCCTAACCGCCGCAAAATCCACCCCCGTTTCCCGATCTGCCGCAAAATCCACACCCATTTCCCCAATTTTGCGAAATCGGCGGCCGAAATCGACCAATCGAGGGCTGTCATGGTCGATTTCGGCCGTTTTGAGGGTGAAAGGTAAGGGTTTTCGTGGTTGGTGTTTGCTTTGATAGGTGGTTAATTGTGGTGGGTATGCGGTGATTTGTGGCGATTAAGCAGGGTTAGGGTGGTTTTCGGGGAGGGGGGAGAAGGGAAGGGGAATTTCGCCGGGTTTCAGGGGTGCAGGTGACACCGTCGGCTTAGGTTTGGCATTGGCGCGGCTGGAGAAGGTGGTGCTGGTGGTGGGGTTGGGTGGGTTTAGGTTAGGGTTTTTTTTTTTAATTTTTCTTTTTTTTTTAAACCAATGTCCTATCGACACGTGTTCATCGTGGGTTCCTTTAACGGATTCCATCCAAAAATCAGTTAGATGGTGGTGAAATCAATTTTTTTGATTTTTCTTTGGTGTTATGATACAAATTCGAAAAATTGTGGTGTTATAATCCGTTTTTTGTAAAATTTGTGGTGTTATTTTCAAAAAAATCCAAAAAAAAATTAAAAAAAAAAGGGGGAAGAAGGAAAAAGAATGATGAAAAATCCAATTGTTTAGTCTGCACAAGGGCTAGTCACATCATAACTGATACTCTTGTAGAAAGTAATGTCCGATATGCTTTTTTCAGAAAACACTGTACTACTTTCTTGTAATCCCAACATTAAAATAATGAACATATATAAATTCTATCTTTACATTTAATTTCCAAGCTACCTAATCCACCGAGTGTCCCAACCCCCATGTGTAATTTCAAACAACATAGCAGTTGGCAAGTTATTTCAATAAAAAAGCTGATACAAAATGCAGTATGCAGAACGCTGTCTCTAGGGAATTCAGTAGAATATACTGGGGGAAGGAGGCGGGAGGCTAGCATTAATGATTGTAATTTGAAACGTAAACAATTAAATTGAAGCATTGAATAGCTGAGATCTGAAATTTTTTAATTCCAAAACAAAGTTTATATCCAAAAATTCAAGTATACTAAAACTTAACCATTGGAAAATAAGGCCCTATTCACTTCATCTTATTTTTGCTGAATTGAAATTATTTTTGCTAAAGTGAAATTAATTTTACTGAACTGAAATTATTTTTGCTAAATTGAAATTAATTTTACTGATTTTCTATTATATTTCTTCTTTAAGTTTACTGAAATTATTTTTACTGAACTTAAATTATTTTTGCTGAACTGAAATTAATTTTAGTGAATACTATTTTAATATTATTTTTTTAAGGTGAAGTGAAAAGGGCCTAAGACTACCAAAGACAGAATATGCAAGATGGAGCTTAATGATGAATTTATGTTGCTAAACACTAAATTTGAAATTAAGTGCAACTAAGTGGGGCTTTCACAAAAAGGAAGCGATCAGAAAGGGAAACATTCCACAAATGGGGATGAAAGAAATGGGTCGCAATTCAAGGATCTGAGCCACATTCCAAGTTACGTTGGTATATATAAAACAAGTACTAAAAATACAAGTATGCATAAGAGGAAATTGCTTATTAGACAAGGGAATACAATTAAAAACCACTTGACTCGTATTTGAGTGGAATATTACAAACCTTTGTAGGTTCCACTAATGTTCCAGCTAGAAAAGGGTGCCTTATTGCTGTCTTCTTTTTTGACAAAGAGCCACTGAAAAAGTAACATCGACAATCAATAGTTAAACACATGATTAGAGACGCACAGCAGAACTTTCTAATTAGGAATGTAAAGGTGTGACCGTGTGAGGCTGCATAAGCATAAATTGGCAGCACGTAAACAAACTACAGTAACCAATAAAATTTACAAAAGCATTAGCTGCTTTCTAAGATTTTAATTAGAGTAGTGCAGCAGAACTTTCTAGTCAGAAATGTTAAGGTATAAAGCCGCATAAGCATAAATTGTCTGCACACAAGCAAACTACAGTAAGCAATAAAGTGTACAGAAGCTAGCTAGCTTGCTTTCTATAACTTTTACTAGAGTAGCAGATTAGAAATCGAAGGCAGCATAGCCAATACCAGTAATTGATCTCTAAAAACTATACAAAAACCAAGCCCTTCTTATTAAAACTTACATTTATTCTAATATTACTATCTTTACAAAAATATTTTGATGTTTCTTTAACGGAGATTAAAATGCACCTCATATACAAAAGGTCACCTTGCGCCTTACACCTAGGGCCCTAGGCTCCTAGAATCCTTTACGCCTGGTACAATTTGAAACTAAGTGTTACTAAACATTTATTCCTCTGGATAAATCCAAATCTCAATTGCATCAAATGTAGCAAAGTATCTTAATAGTCAATAATTATTGCCTAAGGCATGATCTTACTGTGTGTCCTGAGCTCTAACCCGCCTTATTTATTGGATAGATTAAATTGTACACACTCAAACAAATGGATTATCCCCCCGCTGAAGAGTTACAAAATAGACAACTTATTTATCATAGGAACTCTAATTAAGTGTTTTATCTCCCTAACACAATTCAAACAAATGGAACATCCCTATATCACAGATTCCTCACCTGAAGATTAACATAAATAGACCATGTTATTATTATGGGAACTCCAATCAAATGTATTATCTTCCCTAAATAGATCATCTCTATTTCTACTCTCTAAACCCCTTCCAGAATGAAAGTACCTTCTTAGACTTTAAGTCGGCCAAAGTTTGTCAATTTTTCTAACACTTGCAAGCCATATAATTCCTCATATAACCAAATAACACGAACTACTAATCCACTTTACCCGACTTATGAAAGTCAAGCTTAGATGTGTGAAGGCACTGCTGCTAAAGTCATTAGAAAGTCTTAGGTGAGACATATTTAATGATGCGAACTGAGATTTGATGGTGCAGTGGGCACTATATGGCAAGCTGAGGCACATGAAGATGAGTGGCTGCATACCGCATTAATATCATTTGATTCATGTCTGCAACTAGGTTTTACCTCACAAATTATTATTATTTTCTAGAAAGTGCTCTTTACTTCAAACACGCTGCACCTCACTCTAGTGCTTTTCGCCAAGGCTTTAGGACCTGAGCACAACTCCAGTGATGGCTTTCTGTATAGTAGATGGAAGAGCTTGTCTGAACATCAAAGAATATAGAAGTTCTCGGTTTACCTCAAATTAAGAAATATAGCTAAATGCAAGAGCTTGTTTGACAAAAGCAGTCATTCATGTTACATGTTTTGTGACTCACCATTAGAGAACATGATGGCCAAAAATGGCGTGACTGGAAATGTTGATGTGACAAGTCAAGCTACACATGGTTATACCTAACCATCGAAGATGCCTTAAGTGCATTCAAAGGCTTAATTTCCACCAAAAAAATTTGATTGTTCATAGTGGGAAATTTCTAATGTATAACTAAGATACATCTAATGCCAAAACTTGAAATAAATCATTTTTTATCAAAAAGTAAAAAAGGAAAACAGCCATTAGAATGACACACATTTCAATGAAAAAGATTTGTCAAGATGCGATTTTGACAGCAATGCACGAATCATTTAATATACAATATTCATCTTGATACATACTCATCCTATATTGTTGTTTCTACTCACTTTGAATTGTAGTCTCTATTCATTTTGTTCTACTCACTTACCCCTTATCCATCTTACCCCCATTGCCCCACAATAATCACTTTTTTTCACAAAGTCTCTCTTACTTTATTCATCTTTTTCTTACGCCCACCCACCCACCTTTTACATTCTCTCTATCACATTATCCTACTTCATTTTACACTCACTCACTCTTTCTTCAATATTTTCATATAATGTGCATATACAATAATTAAGTAGAACAGAGAGTGTATGGTATGTAATCCATTGTACACAATATGCAGATTACTACAAACCATATTCATCATATTACTAGTATATGTAATAGAGAAATGCAAAAATAAGTTTTCCTCAGATATACTTAGACACACCCCCATTCATAACATACAAGTATATTGCAATGGCAACCAACTTGAAGTTTAGTCAGGAAGTAAGACTAAATCATCATTAGTCCATAACATAATAAGCGTTGGTTTAACACCATAAGACATACTAATTTGCTTATAAAGTTATAAACACAATGAAAATTTAAGCAAATTTGCTTACTTTCACTGAAAATAACATATTATATATTTGATATGACAATAACATTCACATAATTTCAAACAAGTACTTCTATGAAATTCAAAAACTGAACTATATAAGACTAACCTCATCTCCCCAAGACCTGGCTCGTTCTCTCAAGGGTCTCAAACTCGTCGCCGGTCCAAAAAGGGAAAAAACCACCAATAATCCCAATAAAACTTTGGCAACAAACCCTAATTTCCACTTTCTTCGAAAACCCAACATACCCAATTCGAAATTCAAGCATTCCGCCATGAAATTGGTCCTCAGAATCGGAAAATCGGAACGATTCCGACTCCCCAACTTGGCTGCTGATTACAAAAAATGAAGCAAAAGGGAGAACAACCCATAAAGCAAAATGAATAATATTGCTTAAAAATGGAGTCAACTAACCGAAACCATAGAAAAAAGACGTGCGATTTCGAGAGCTCAACTAACGAATTTAAGCAATCAGCTATGAATTAATTTAATATATTAATTAAAGGATTATTAAACAAATGATCCGACAAGAAGAGGAAACTTCACCGGTAGGTTGAGGATGAACTGTAAACTAAAGAAAATGATTAAAGTGTGGGATAATTTGGTGAAATTATGAAGAATCTTAAAACCAAGGTGATGTTTTGTTTAGCTGGTGGGAGTGGATGTTGCTGGTTTGCGTTGGGTTGTTGTTTGTGTAGGTGTCCAGAGTATGGGAGAGAGAAGAGGAAAGAATGGAGGAGGTCAACTGGATTATACAAGTCTTACTTGACAGTATAAGCTTAAATCGAGCATCAAAATAATCAATGTATAAATAAAAATACGGCTATTTCACCAAATGTCATTAAGCACTTTAAAAATTCACCAAATGTCATCGGATTTTTCAGAATTTACCAAATGTCACCGAGTTTTTAAAAAATTCACCGGGTGCCATTAATGACTAACGGCAGTTAACTTCGTTAGTCATTAAGGCTAATTATGCCACGTGGTGGCTTATGATTGGTTGCTTATTAAATTAGTAAATTATTTACTTAATAAAAAACTTTAAAAAAATATATATAAAAAAAAAAAAACACCCACCCACCATGACCCAGCCCGACCACCGTCTATCACTGCCACCACCATATCCCCACCTCCAACCAGTCCCCACCGCGGCGGCGACCCAGCCCTGAACAATCGAGTCGGCGACCCAGCCTTGAACAACCGCGCCGCCGGCGACCCAGAGTAGCCAGCCCACGCCGACAACGCACCCAGCCAATTCGCAAACTCACCTTCTCCCTCGAAAATCCCTCCCCTCACCACCGTCGACGACCAAAGCCCCCTCCCCACGTCGGAGAACCCAAATCACTTCATCCCCTCCGAGCTTCACCCTTTCAACCACCACGCTGGAACCCTAAATTAAAATCCCCAAAAATCGAAATCTAGGGTTTCGACACCTTAAACCCCAATATCGATTTCCCTAAATTCGTAACCCCCTCCACTCTATCCCTCCAACTCCGACGAATCCAAACCACCTCTTTCCCTCCCATCTCCACCCCTGAACCACCTTGCTTAAAATCGAAAACCAAATTTGGTTTTCGATTTTGGAGATTTCGTTTTTGGGGTTTTATTAGGGTGTCGAGGATGGGTGTTTAGGGGGGGAGTGGATGCAGATGGTAGGGGGCATAGGGTTAGGGGGAAGGGTGGTCGCCGACGATGTTGGTCGCCGGTGGGGGTGGAGGCAAGGGGTTGGGCTGGCGTAGGGGCGGTGGTGCGGTGGGAAGAGTGGTTGGGGTTCATTTTTTTTAATTATAATTTTTTTGATAAATAAAATAATAATAAAATGAACCAATTAGAATATGCCACATGGCATAATTAGCCTTAATGACTAACGGAGTTAACTAATGTTAGTCATTAATGGCACTCGGTGAATTTTTTAAAAACTCGGTGGCATTTGGTGAATTCTGAAAAGTCCGATGGCATTTGGTGAATTTTTAAAGTACTTAATGGCATTTGGTGAAATAGCCGATAAAAATAAATCATATCATATCATATAACTAATATATAAAGCTAAACTTTTAGCCAGGTGACGAGACAGCGACACTTGGCGTTCCAACTTTTTGCCAAGTGTCGTGCCACGTAGGATAGAGTTATATAAAATTCAATTTGTAGTATAATAAAGTTAGTTTAGAATTTTATTTTCAATCAACTTTGGATATAATTTTAGGATAAAATTGTTAATTTAGAGTTTTATTTTTGATAAAGTACCAATATTTCATATGTACAAATTGAATTATAATTTTATTCAAAAAATAATTAGATTATAACTCTCATAAATTATCATATAAATTTATTTTTTGTATCATAATATTTTTTTAGAGCGAAAGAATTAGTTCAAAATGTACCACATTCATGGGTTATAATACATTCTAATCAATTAAAATAATATAATTCACAATCTAATATAATTTTATTATTGTGTGTAGACCTGTTAATCAGGTCGGGTCACGAGTCATTTCAGACAGGGTCAAGAAATGTTTTTCACCAATATTATTATTATTAGTCATTACATGTCTACAAGTTTAAATCGTTACAAAAATACGTCAATTGCTAACTAATTTTATATCAATGATATATTTTAAAATTTGACATATAGATTAAAATATATCTTAAAATTTAATAAACAACCCGGGCATCGCACGGTCACAAAACTAGTAAATAAATATAACTAAAGAAATAACCGCTGACATCATCATTTACAAGTGTCAACTTCTCATACAAAATTTTTGCCCGAAAATTTTGGTAACATTATCTTTTTTTTTTCAAAATAAATTTTTTTTTGGAATTAATAAATTAATTGCACATTTCCTAAAACTTTTTATGCTAAAATTGACTAACTACACAATTTTTCCATGGATTAGATTAGAAGTTAGTGGCTGGAATATTTCATTTTTCTGGAAACATTTTATCTCCTCCTACTGTATACATTTATAGTGTTATTTTTGGTGTTTCTATTCCTTACTAGTTCTTAAAAAAAATAAAAAATTAATGAAAGATAAACTAGCAAATTAATGCTAACATATAATAAATAAGTTTTAAATTTTATTTAAATTACGAAGCATATAGTATAATATGTGATTATAATACTCTATATTTAAGATCATATCTTTCGTTATAGCTTAATTTCATCTAATAAGAAGACACACGATTCATGAGTGTTTTTCTTAAATATGTATTTGTAGACACCCATTTGTGTCTCCCCAAAACCAAACCCGGTGATGAGTACCTTTCACGTCGAATCATAATCGAATGAAGTGAAAGTGTGGAAAGTCTAGTGTTACGGATAGTTTTAATTTCTTTTCTTTTCTCTCTATTTTTGAAAACCTATTTTAAGAAAACAGTCAATCAAATTTGTTTGGTCCATAGTATGGATCCAATAATGGTGTAGTTGGATGAGGCTTCAAAAGAGCTTTCCAATGATATATTATAAGCCCAATTCCGATGAATAATGAGGAAGTTATGGCCAAATTACTAAACTGGGCCCGGTTTGAGCCTTATATGCGGCCCAATGATCTAGATGATGGCCTAATATGGATTTATCATTCCTAATGCAATTTGGAATGGTTTTAGTCTTCTAGATTCTTCTACAAGGTTCTTTTCATTCCTAATTCAATTAGCATTGATAAATTGACTTTTGTTGACTTTTTGGAGTTTTAATCATAATAAAAGAGTGTTTTTAAGGAAAATACGATTTTGTCCTTCTGTACGGCCAAGTTTTATCTGAATTTAGAAAACGCGTGAAAAAATTAATTAGCGCCTAACGCCAGACATTAGCGCCTGGCGCTAATGGTCAGCGCCTGGCGCCTGGCGCTAATGGTCAGCGCCTGGCGCCTGGCGCCTGGCGCTAATGGTCAGCGCCTGACGCTAACTTGTTTTTTCTTCGTCGAAACTCTGATTTGTTTTTCTACCTTTTTGGCTGATTTTCTCTAAAAATAGCCTTCTAAAATCTCCATTTTTCATCATCTACAATCATTAATAATCATCAATTCTCTCTAATTCTCTAATATTCTCTAGTTTTCTTGTTCTCTAGTTTTTAAGAATTCTTTTCTCTCTAATTTTATACAAAATTCCGCATTCACAAGACCAAGAAACACCTAGCATCGTTCGAAGTTGTCTTCGCCTAGATGTGAAAGGTTTTAATTTCTGAGGGTTGGGTTCCTAATCTTTATTTCAATTGTTTAATTTAATTGTTAGTTTATTATTTTCCTTGAAGTTACTAACGCGTGTATTTTGTTATTAGAAAGAGGTACGAGGCATCCAAGTAAGTGCTTTAATGGTTTTTAATTAATATTATGATGTAGAAATCATGCTTAGGTTGTTATTATGATTCCTAGCGTCATGTTAGGGTGTTTTGTTCTTCCTAGTATCATGTTTAGGGTAACTTTAATATCAAATATGACAATTGTGATGCTTTCTATATTCTTTCCTAATAGCATGTTAGTATCATGTTAGGGTTAAATATTTGATCTTTGATGTTTAGTAACATGCTAGGATTTGTTATTAATCTTGTTAGTATCATGCATCGGATCTTGCTATTATTATGCTTTAACATGAACATGTTTATTTCTATTATTATAATTATAATTATTTTGATTATTATTATGTTGCTTGATATATATTTTATTATTTTTATTGCTTGATCACGCCTTTTATGCATGTTTAAAGGGAATTGGTACTTGTAATCACGCTTAATAAGATAATTAATAATCTTGTTAGGGTTAATTTGATTATAATTCAAGTGATCGTCAATAATAGATTTATTTGTGCATTAATATTCAACCAACATAGATAAAAAAAGTTTAGGGTTAAACCTATTGATTGCATGTTAGTCAAAAAGCACACATGAATACGATCAGAATGAAGTAGAGGCCTATTATTAGGGCAGATTCAATCTCTTTTAGGTTAGATTTGTACCTTCATCCCCGAACTACCAGTCATGGTTCCAGACCTATTAGAGTTGACGATCTCTTGGATCGTTAAGGGGTGTAACCTTCACCTCGTGAACGGTTTACAAGTTCCTAAAACTTGTTGGCGACTCTTTTGCTCTATCTTCTTTCCCTTTGGACGCCACCGTACTTTAGTATATGATCACAGTGGGGTTCAAGCTAGGGATAATGCTTGAAATATTCCCTACAGTATTACATACAAATAAATAAGAAAAACAAATATTAAATCGTGTATCGCACGAGACTAACCTAGTATTCAACAATACTCTCTCCGTTTTTCTTAATGCACTAGTAGTAAACTAAAAATTACCCATGAACGAAATATAATCTTTGAATAACTTTAATTTATGGATAGTTTTAACTAAAGCTGTCAATTCGGGTAAACGGGTCAGGTTTGAGTTGAGTTAGTGTGAGTCGGGTCACCTCGGGTCGGGTCAATACGGGTTAATGTCATAAAATATGCGGGTCGAGTTCGGGTTGGGTCATGCTTGAGTCGGGTCATGTCGGGTCATACATCTTATCGGGTGTGGGTCGGGTCAGGTGAAAAATAGTTCGGGTTAAATTCGGGTCTTTATGGGTTTAAACGAGTTAGGGTCGTTCTCGGGTTCAAGTTGGGTTCGGGCAAGTCAATTATTTACGGGTTATAATCATGTCGGGTTATTCTGGGGTTCAAGTCGGGTTCGATTCAAGTCAATAATTTGCGGGTTATACTCAAGTCGGGTTTTTCAAATCGGGTCATTCTCGAGTTCGAGTCGGGTTTGGTTCAAGTCAATAATTTGCGGAAAACA